CACCTCCTGCTGGCGGTGCAGTGGGTCTATTTATATCCCCCCGACCCACTGGGGGTGATATATAAGTCGAAAAATTTTCAAACCATGGGTAAAGCATACCAGGTAACATAACAGAATGATCCACAGTTTTTTTCTGGGTTGTATGAATTATTTTTTTAAAGTCTGACATCAATGAACGCTCAAGACTGGCCAACTAAGAGATGGTACAAGTCCTATAAAGCATATACATGAATTTCGATGTACGTGTTCGGCTTGTCTGTTTCATTTTAAAAATAGTATGACCTATCAACAGATGCAGGTCCTCGCCCATATTGGAGGCAGGCACGTCTGCGGAGGAGATGTTGCGCCGCATTCTGCGGCGTAAGATTTCTTGTGAGCTGGCCGAGGGCTACAACCTCACAGGTACAAAGGGGAAAAAGTGTTTCAACGCACGGAGCAAGTTGAAAAGCACCTGATACGGTACGGTTTTTTGTAGTGAGACACAATCTTACAAAACCACTAAATTTATGCTGCTTGCATTTTTTAAAATACATTGTGACCTTTCACTGTTACCAAGTTCAAAGGTGTGGGGTGAGAGGATTGTAAATCTTTTCCCCACTGCCTGACAGAGAGGCTAGTACTGGAGTGATCTCCCTGATTAACCCTGAAAACCCCGAATTCTTATTTTTCATACTTCCCTTCCTAAATTAAAATTGAGATACTAGAAAAAAAAATTAGGTAGGTTCATTGTTTTATTTGCTGTGTCTTTAATTGTTGTTAAATTTTTACTGAACTTTGAAAATGTTAGTTATATATTATATATATATGAATATATATATGAATATATATATATATAATATATATATATATATATATGTATATATATATATATATATATATATATATATATATATATATATATATAGGAATGCACAGTCTTAACAAAAAGGGAAAATGTTAAAACACTGGTTTTTAGGACCAACTCAATGAGTTAAGTCTTGTTTGTGATCCCTGACTCCACTTTAGTCAAACCCTGCCGCTTCCACTATCGTCAAAATCATCAGAGAGATAGTGACGTACGAGTGGCATCCCACCAGCGTGGAGGGGGGGGGGGGTTACACGCCCTGTTGATGTGTCAGCCAACTATTTTTATTTTATTCCCCGGTCAACTCGTGGAAGGACGAAGGCAGAAGGAAGAAAGACGATAGAAGACAGACGATACACCAAAGCAAATGTCGCCCATGTGCACCTGAGCGTAGATGTCCATGGGCGACGAATCGCCAGTTAAGAGGTTGCACCTTCTGCTGACGGAGCAGTGGGTCTGTTTATATCCCCCCAACCCACTTGGGGGGATTATTTTGACGAGAGCCTGATTCCACCATGTTGCCTAACATATATTTCAGACTGTTGTACTGTGGGTTGAAGGACCTGCAGTTGACTTCATCTGCACTCCTGTTCAAATTTATGGCAGTCGAAATATCATTGGAAAACAAGCCTCGGAAAAACATGTGTAACAGCTTTGTCTTGGACTACTAGAAATAATAGTACATCAGAGGGTAAAATGGACATTGATGGTTACAGAAAGCATATTTCTGCAATTTTATATATTTGAATTCCAATTTGATAGTAGCACTAAAAGTGTTGTCAATGAAAATTGAAACTTTTTTGTTTGTTTGTTAAACAAGATGTTCTTGCAAAAAGTAGAAGTCAGTACATCCGAGTGCATTTGTTCATAAAGAACCTGGTGTGATATTTTTAACGTATACAACTTGCAGCATTTAGAATCCAAAGAATACAACTTGCTTGCAGCCGGTAGAAATATCGTCAACACTTTGCCCCACCAAATTCTGCATTTTGCCTGCCTGTTGTATTAATGAATAACCTTGCATGTTTAGCCTCTGGTCAACGTATTAGATTTACTGATTTTATTTTCTAT